CATGGGGGAGTGACTTTCCTAGCAGCCCTCTATTTATGACTTTGTCTCCTGGGGTTGAGAAGACACAGGGCCGAGGAAGGCCTAAGGTGTGTAGGGCAGGACGACCTCATTCCTCTTCTCTGACACTGGCTCTGCCATCATCCCCATTCTCCAGTCTGACCCCTGTTGGATTTTTCTGCAGGAAAGGAAGAATATCTCCTTTAGATGTATTAAAAAACTATTCTAGGGGAAGTGGGAGGGGAAGGGAAAAGGAAATAAGGGAAAAGAAAAAAATATGAGAAAAGGGAAAAATGGAAACAAAGTCTTTGTAAATTGGGGAGTGGGGAGGGGGTGAAGGGAGGGCAGGGGGATGGGGAAAAATGAGAACCAAGACCTGTCATGTAGAGGTACAAGATCCCAATGATGAATGTAACTGTACTGTGTACTTTAAAAGTACCAATAAACTCAACGAGAAAAATAAAAAAAGCTGTTCTTAGGCACCTACAAGATCTGTCAGATTTCTAATCTTTTTTCAGCATTCTGCAAGAATACAGGCTAAGTTTTACTTTAAAGATAGGTAAACTGAGACTATTATAAGAACAGGCACTGCTGATACCTGCTTTAGAATACTGAATCAAAGTTTCTCAAAAACAGAGAACAGTAGGGCCAGGGATTTAGCGCCTGCCTTGCAAGCACAAGGTCCTGAGTTTGATCCCTGGCACCAAAAATAAATAAATAGAACAGAGAACAGTAAATCATAGCCTCATCCTTTCCCCAAGCCATTTGCTTTTACCCCTCCCCCAGCTTTGATTTTTGTTTTCTGTTGGTTTTTTCCCCCAATACCTGGGATCAAACTCAGGACTTTGTGCTTGCAAGGCAGACAAAGTGCCACTGAGCTAAATCCCTGGCCCAGCCTTGATTTAATTTTATGATGTATTCAGAGGTATACATGTGTTTTTATTCCAGCTAACCCAGCAGTAAATTAAAAGGATCTTAGCTCTCACTATAAAAAAGAGAAATGGGAAGAGCACAAAGGAAGAGAGTGTTGTATGATAGGAGTAGAGCATCTGTGTTAGTGTTTCCTGGGCTTCTTCGGACAGATAAGATCAGCTCATGTGAGAGCAAATGGAATTTGAAAACCCTGGTTATGTCCTGACATTTTCCATGTGCTGCTGGAATGAGTCCAAGCCCAAGTACTGCAGATTAAGTGGACAAATGCTGAATTAGAATAGCCCTGCTACCTTCAGACAGAGAGGCAGCTGATGAGTTGAGTAGGAATAAATTATCTTGAAAGTTTTTGGTAATGGAACTCTAAGAATGAAATCCAATGGGAAAACTATGGTAATTAGTTGTAGGTAGAGCTATACAAAAGTTTTTCTTATTGTAATGGCAACAGGCAGAGTTTTTAAAAGGCCTATTATTGGTCTTTTCCATTTTGTAGCAACCTGGGTGGTTGGACTCTAAGGGAAATTTAGATCTAATTCTGATGGTTTGTTGTTTTCTCTCTGGGATGATGGGAACTATCTGAGACCTAGAATTTTTTCATGCACTTGGGTTTGGATGTCACCTTTATCTTTGTTGGTGGTTTGGTTCACCTCTCAGACCTGTTGGAATATGGACGATTTTGGAGCTTAATTATACCCAGAGGGCAAAAGTTCCAGTAGAGACTTACAAATCTATTTCATAGTTTTAAAAGAAACTTAGTATAGCAAACATCTATATTTAGCTTTACAGTGCAGCCTACATGTTTAAAAACAGAATATGCTTGAAAGAAGGACCACAATTTTCCTTTGCCAAAGACAAGTAATATGTATTTATTAAAGGAGAAAGTACTGAAAAAAGGCAGAAAATATTTCATAGTTCTGTTACCAAATGTAACAGTTGAGATGCCAAATTTCTGAACTTTCATACCATGATATTTATGTGTTTACAAAGATGGTATTGTGTTTCTAATTAATTTATTCACTTGACAAAGCTATGAATATGTACTATCCTAAATATAGAAATGTAGTACAATCTTCAGTGGAGGCGTAGTATTCTGTTGTGTAATAGTTATCAGTTCTCACTATAGAACTTTTAGTCTATTTCTAATTTTTTGCTATAGTAAATTATTCTTTAAATTTTCTGGTTACTAAGGTTTTACATACATAGCCCACCAAAAAATGATTCAAATGGAGTCTTCGGATAAGGGTAGTAGAATTTGCTAGGGATAGGACTCTGTATAGTAGATGAACAGTTTTATATTTTGTGCCCTTAGAGAATAATTAGAACTATGATATATGGTATATGATTGGTGTAGCTGATTTCTTGTAATATACCTATTAATTTTGTTAAGCAAAAACAATCTCTTTCCCTTAGGCACATTGAGAGCTAGTACATTCTAATGTATCACATTTCGGGAGAAGGACATAAAAGGCTCAGTTGAGTGAGCTGTGTAGGGTAGCCACTGAGAAGGAATACATTTTAGATACTCTCAAGTATCAGTATTAATTATCACAAAATAAACAAAGTGTAGAGGTGACCCAAAGATATCTTCAAGTGAGGCTCTTCTCACAGTCTAGAACAGTAATGGGCAACATTTTAGAGCTTTCAGTGGTAATAAATAGCCCTGTTGCACACATACCATAAGTTTGACACCACTGGCCTAGAATCTTAACAGCGTAAGGCAGATACAGTATATACTTAGTCTGAAGAGCCAGTTTCATAAGAATGGTTTTATTTGCCAAACAGAATTGGACTGTGGAATTGTGAGCACTGCATGTAATAGTAATTTTAAATGAAGGGCAGTTTAAAGGTTAAGTCACCAAGTTATCTTCTATATCTTCCAAAGCTGTAGCTTGAAATTTGTAGGTTCTCCACCTGAACCGATGTAGTTGTTATTCTTCAAATATATTCAATTTATTTAATTCTTCAAATGCTAAATAAGAAAATATATGGCTTATTATACTGCTTTAAAGAAAAGCATTTAGGAACTCTCCAAACACAAAGTAGAATTAAATGCCTGTCTCATGAGTGCTTTAGTGGGCTGCATTGCCTTAAAAGGTCAAGTAGGTTACTGTTTAGTTTTTTGGAAAGTGCTAATAGATATGAAGACCTTATCTAAACTTGAAGCATTTACAAAGTCATTTAGCCTGTTGTGTAGTAAAATAATACCCATTCTTGATTTGTACTACTTTTAAACAAAGTAACCACAAGTACCTTTGTTATAAAGTCTGTGCTAGATTTCACATGCCCACCAAATTTTGCTTTTGCATTTATTATAAATTATAAGCTACTAGAGTAAAATTATCTCTATATATATTCCATATTACATTGTAGCAGAGCTTTGATATGTAAAGCAGGAAGTGTAGCTCACTAAACGTCTGCTAGACCACTTCTGCACTCCTTCCTACCTCTATCTTTCATTATCAGTATCTAGAAACAAACACTGTTTCCCCTACAGTCTCACTGATATGCCCTGATATGACAATCCTGTGTCCATCCTACCTTGAAAAGTCATGAAAATTGACTTCTTTATTTCATGACAGTCATTTTAAAAATCCATTTAATCTTCAAGGAGAGAGTAAATTATCCTCAGTGTAATATTTTCTTGTTTTTAGTGTATGACTTTGTTTGCCAAAGTACTGTGAGGAACATGTAAATTTACTTTATTAATGAAATAAGTAGATTGATAAATTATTTCATTATGGGAAAAAGATGAAAGTACATTCTCTGAATCTAGATGAGAAAATACTGTCCCTTTTCAAAAATGCCAAAGTCTATCTAACTTGTATGTGTGAGCCCAGGTAATGTAACTTTCTAACCTTTATTTCTATAGTGTGGTGAACATGTCTATTAGCAGTGACTTTTGATGTACCTAGTAATTGTCCAGCAGTTCACTTACACACAAATGAGCTTTTCCCCTTTTGCATAATTTTAGCATCAACTAAAAAAAACCACCTATGCCTTTAATTTCAAATTTCAAAGCTTGCTTGAAAATAAAGGTTTCTTTTCTCATGAAATAGGGACTCTGTTTTTATTCAATGCATCAGAATGATTGAACCTTAGAAAAGTCATTTTAGAAGTGGCTGTATCAGTAAATATTTATGAAATGTCACTACGGGCCAAGTTGGGCATTAGAAGAAAGGTAGGACATTACAAAAAGGAGACTTACATTATGAAGACATTCATGACTTCTTCTGCTCCAGTGATTGCATCCTTATAGAGCTAGGAGCCTGCAGATAAAATGGTTGCCAATTTGGTTTTTCGGAGGAAACCAAGGTTACCAGGTGTGAGAGAACTCTATGAAGAAGGCAAATAGCTTCCTCTCTTGAGTGCAATTCCGGGACTCACATTGCTAACACTCTTTCTTATGCACCATACACCCAGCAGTCTGTTGTATATATCAAAGGTGTCAGGTGTTGGTGGTGTAGGGAAAGATAGAGTGGCTAGGAAAGGCTTTCAGAGAAGATCCACCACAGAGTAAGGGAAAGCTCTGGATCTGTTGGTGAAGAGTGGATGGAGAATTCAAGATCTCAGGGAAGCACAGGGACTCTCTTAGGGAGGGAGAGGTTTTGTTGTCTGAGTTAATTGTGGAATGGAAGCCATTAATTGATCTTGTTTTCTCTTGAAGAGTTGCTTTCACAGGGTTGGTGTTCCTTGATGGGGATAGTGTTTGCCTTCCAGTTAGATGCCATATTCTTTCAGGTTTTTTCAAGGAAACATGTTAAGTACAAACAGAATTACTGCTCAGTGTTGAGCAGTTTTCAAAGCACTATTGAATTTTTCTTAGTAAATATACCACTAAAGATTCTGTAAAATGTGTCCGCTCTGATCTTACCCATTTTCAGATCCCATTTAGTCCTCTCTCAGAATGTTGTTAATCAGTGAATCAGGGGTTCCTAAAACTAACCCATGTGTGTAAAACTATGGATTTTCCCCATAAACCAACTTTTCATTATGACTGTTTGTGCTTGGGCTCTAAATTTTGAAGAGGCAGATTTGGAAGTCTAGTGTCCTGACCTTTTCCTTTGCTTCCACAGAAGGAAGAATTCGGTTCAAAAATGAGGTGAATTAATTTTGGGGCACTCAAAACCGTGGACAGCTACATGAAGTTTTAAAAAAACTGCCCTGACCATCTTGCCAAAGGAGTCCCCACTTATGAGGCCCAACGAGATAAACCAGCCAAGGAGGGACAATGTCCTGCCCTGTAGGAACAGTGACCGCTGACCTTCAAGAGCAAGCTGGTAACTGCATTGTTGTCTCTTAATACAATGAAGGAAGTGGTTTATTGGTCACCCAAGAAGGTGGCAGACTGGCTCCTGGAGAATGCTATGCCAGAATACTGTGAACCTCTGGGACATTTTACAGGCCAAGACTTGATCAGCCTAACCCAAGAGGACTTCACAAAACCCCCCTTGTCCCGAGTCTCCTCAGACAACGGGCAGCGGCTCTTAGACATGATAGAGACCCTGAAAATGGAGCACCACATGGAAGCACACAAGAACGGCCACGCCAATGGGCACCTGAGCATTGGCGTAGACATCTCCACCCCTGAAGGCAGCTTCAACATCAAGACAAAACCCAATGGGATACCAAACGGGTTTAGGAAAGAGATGATACAGATCCCCATGCCAGAACTGGAACGCTCCCAGTACCCCATGGAGTGGGGCAAGACTTTTCTGGCCTTTATTTATGCACTTTCCTGTTTTGTCCTCACCACAGTGATGATCTCGGTCGTCCATGAACGAGTACCTCCTAAGGAGGTGCAGCCTCCACTACCGGACACATTTTTTGACCATTTTAACCGGGTGCAGTGGGCCTTTTCTATTTGTGAAATTAATGGCATGATCCTTGTAGGACTTTGGTTAATTCAATGGCTACTCTTAAAATACAAGTAAGTAAAGTAAAAGCTCTTAAGATTTGGTGATGGTGTGATTTACACTCCAGATATCTGATAATTATTTGGAAATGAAAGTCACCATGCCGTTGGAATCAAATCATATCAATTACTCTTTCTTTCATTTTGAACTACATGAGCTATTTAACAAAATGTTATTTGTCTCCTGTTTTGTGTAAGATTCAGGATTGGCGGTGTAACTCAATGGTAGAGCACTTGCCTAGCAGACTCAATGCTCTGAATTGAATCCCCAAGATTACAAAGAAAAAAGAAGTGTGAGATTCATACAGAAAAACTAAGACTGTGAGAGATGATATACTATTTTTACATACAAGAAGGAAAGCTCTCAGATATCATCAGAGTACAAGTGATTGAACAACATTTAGTCTTGGTTGATACTATTAAGTAAGTTGTTGACAGCAGGCCCAAGTTCTGTGATTGGTGGATAGCTTTTTCCCACACAGATTTGTACATGGAACCTTACTGATACATTTTAAAAGATGTGTCACAGTGAGAGTTTAGAACAGCTGTTTCACAGTGGCATGGGTTGTTGAGAAATGATACCCTAAGGGTATGACTTTTGGTAGGTGGATGTGGTAGACCTATTTGGATTTGCACCTAGAATATGTAGCACTTGAAGCAGTGTGTGGCTGGTCCATTCAGGTTTCTCAGGTGTTAAATAGGCACTTCTGTTTAGGTTTCGGTGGCTCCAAAGTAGTTTTCATGTCTCAAACTTTAATCTCAACATAGACCCCCTGTTTACATGGGTAAATTAAACACTTGTCCTTCGTTTTATGAGTAATCAAGATTCCTTGCCATTGGCGTCCGATTCTTTTCTGATTGAAACATCTTTATGGCTTACCTGCATAGGAGTTGGAAATCAGTTTAAAGAATTTAGTTTCTCTCTGGTGGACTGTTTCATGACCACAGTGTGGCTGAATATTAAAGAAATCATCTGAAATCAAGAAAATAAAATGTGGATGGAGAGTTTATGCTGAATTTCTCTGACCGAAATGATGAGTTTTTTTTCCTGGTTTGTTTTATAAAGACTGTTATTATATATATGTGCAAATGGAAATGAAGGTAGTTCCTGCCTGTTTGCCAAGGAAGGACTTCTTAATTTGGATAAAGAATGTCATTAAAGTTTATTTGGGACTAGTTTGATAATACTCCAGTTTAAAAGAATTTGAACTACAACTGATGGTCTGGGCTGAATTTGATTTGGTGGAATACCTGTTTATGTTTTTAAAATCTAGATGCCTTGTAGTGTTAAAAGATTTTTGGATTTTTGTAGTAAATCATAGTTGTCCATAAAAAAAATCTAAATGCCAATTGGGAGGAAAAAAATTATGCTAGTGCTTTTTCTTTATGAGGACAAAGTTAATTCAAATTATACTTCCTATTTTTTTCCTAATGTTTGTTTTTTGTAGATTCATTTTTTGGGTTTTCATCTAAATTCTTATGTGCGTACAAATAATTTACTGCCCCAGAAAATAATTGAGTTATTCCAGGACCTTCGCAGACCTGTGAGTTTTAAGTAACTGTATTCTTGTTCTAAGAAAGTGACCTCAGTATAAGACAGATTTCTTTAAAATGTTCATTTTTTTTTCAGCTGGGAATTTTCCTGAAATCTGCTTATCTTTAAACTTTCGTGTTTCTTTGTAATTTCATCTTTTCTTGGTGCTTATTGCTAGTACTATAGTCATTTATATATTTAAATTGTTCAAAGCTAGGTATGGTGGTGCATGCCTATATCCCAGAACAAGAGGGCAAAAATTTGAGGCTAGCCTGGGCTACGTAGTGAGTTCTAGGCCAACCTAAATTATATAGTGAGACTCTGGCTCACAAAACCAAGATGGATAGATAAACAGCAGTAAGCCGATATATTTACATCTTGTTCTAAATTAGTGCTAACCTGGGATTTAGCAGCCTGGATTCCAGCCCTCGCCATAACCTGACATGCTGGGTGGCTTGGATGGATCTCTTAATCCCAAGAGTGTTGTTTTTCTCACAGAGATAATAAGAACTTCTCAGTCTAGATATTCTGTTATCTTATGTGACTGTGTTATTTGATTCTAATGTTGTTGGATGGGCCATTATGGGAAATGGAAGCTGACTACAGTCCTAAGCATCCTTCGCCCCTGTCCTAGTAGGCTACATCCTGCTTTTCTCCTGATTATGGCTTCTTTTCAGTGTATGTGGCCATAGATATGTAAGAGGTAGGAAGATACAGATTGACAGGTGGAACAGTAGGCATTGATGAACTGCAGTGTAGTCTTTTGCAGTGTCAGAGTCCCCTCGTTTCGAGTTCATTGCCTATTGCAGCATATCAGTTTTCTTTATCTACATTTCCAAGAAATGGATCCTTATGGTTATGGGATATTCTAACAGACAGTTAATAAAAATCTCTGCTTTTTTTGTGTTTAACTCTTGTGAGTTTTGACTTCCCTCCCCAGTTTCCACTAGAAGGTTTGCCACTTGCCAGTACATTTTACTCAACTCCTCAGAATTAAATGTTTGGCTGATAATTCCCAATAGGGCACTTTACTTTGATTTAAGAGTCTTGGAGCCCTTAAAAGTCAGCCTCTTCTTTCTTTATATCTTCTACTTTTTAGACCACAAATAGGATGAAACTGTAGAAGATGGTTTGTTAATTGAGAAGTGAGACCACTGGAATTTGAACAACATCTCCTTTTAACCAGACTTTTGAGGTGGGGGAAGACATTGATGCTGAATTTGTGACATATGTTTCTATCCTTATGTTGTATATATAATTGTCCTTTACTGTTAAACATAGGTTTTATTTCATCGTACTTTATTTTCTCTCTTTTCATTCTTCACTTCTCCCCTCTTGTCTGAATGTATATATGTTTATATACACCTATATCCAATGACTTTCCATGATATTGAGAGGTGGAAAGCAATAGTAATGCCGATCCTTGAACACTTTTGGTTTTTAAAATTGTAAATAATGTTGTCTCCTCATTTAGAATTGGACTTTCAAGCCACTGACTAGGAAAAATTCCTGGGAAATCTCTGCAATTGTGTCAGACTTCACTGCAAAACAGGTATCCCTTGTTTTAAGAAAGCACAATAAAGAATATATTTTAGTATATGTGCTGTTAAAGTGAGCACCAGAATATATTAAGTTTAAAGGTTTGATAAAGCCTGAAGAGTTAAGGTCTTTTCATGCATGGCTAAGCTGGGGCTAACACAGTAGCTATCACATGTATGTGTGATAAGTGGAGCTCTGCTCTGTCAGGCTGTAAACTCTTCACAGGGAAAAAGGCCAAGTAATGGGACCGTAGAATTTCCAAGTCAGAGGTTTTCTATTCACCAGAGAAATTTTAAGATTTCTTAGTGTGATGATCAGGGTACCTCAAGTTCAAACATTTGCTAGCTTTTTCTTCCAATTTGTTCTTCCTCTTCTCTGGCCAGTGGCACTTCTTAGACACCTAGGAAAATTACTCATTTTATTTTATGTAGATAGTCACTGAGCTCAGTTCTAATTCTCTCAGTCTGTTTTTCTTTGTTTATTTGTTTGTTTGTTTGGAGTCTTACTATGTAGCTGAGGATGCTCTCAAATTAGAATCCTCCTACATCAGCCTATAATTGCTGGGATTGTAGGCATATAGCACTGCACCCAGATAAGTGCATCAGTTCTGTTTTTAAATACATCTCTTTCCATTCTTAAGTGGTGCTGCATAGCAGGCTCCATTGAGAATGAGCTCCAGGCACTTGTAGACCCTGGATGAGCAGAGGACCCTCCTGCTCTCATGACACATATGCTGGCAGGGGTAAGTCAGGCAGTAAACAATTGAACCTCTGACATCATCTACTGTAAAGGAAATGGTGAGAAATTCAGGAGTATAAATGACTAGGGAATTTTGAAAATAGTGGAATGGGTGATCTGCTAGATTGATTACTTAGAAAAGGCCCCTAATGATGTGACAGTTGAGTAGACACTTGAGTCAAATGAGGGTGAATCCCATGCAGGAGTCCATGTTCCAGGCAGAAGGCATAGCAGGTACAGAGTTGCTGAGGCCTACTTGAAGAAGACCCTGTGTATTTTAATATCTGATAAAGTCTCTCGTTTGGGGGCTTTGTTTTGTAATATTCTGCCAATAAAAGCCTGTAGCATTTTCTACTCTTCTGTGCCGGGAGTCTAACTTCCAAGGATAGAATCTTGGGTCTGATTGGCAACCACTGCTGTCAGATGCAGTGTGATTGTTTTGAGTTGTATTTTATTTAGAAGACTAGACTTTTCACTAGTGTCTGTTTTTCTTTTTACCCTATCTTATCAATGTCTCTTCACATCAAGTTGATTGGATTAGAGTACTCATGCTTCTTCTAGTCTCTAAGGTAGTTTATGGCTACACATACTGTCAGCATTTTTCCATTGCTTTTACATCTTTGATGGCCATCTTTGAAAACAAGTCTTTCCAGGTTTGTTTTCTAAGTTTCAGAAGAACCTTTTCTTAAGGTCATTTAACTTTGTTATAAATGAGCCTTACACTATGGTAGACCAGAAGGCTAATCTCTGGTGGGACTTGAGACCATCTTTACAATTAATTATTTACCAAGAATTACGAGAGAATGTGTACTAGGGTTGCAACATGAGCAAAGTCCTTGCATAGAGGTGATGTTCAGGGGAATTTTTGTTTGATCTCCTAGTAACATCTCAGTTTTTCAAAGTGTGCTGTTGAAACTGTCCATATACAAATCTCAGGAGGACAAAATTCCCTCATGTTATACTAGCTTTTTGGGGGGTCTCTCTCCCATTATTTAATTGGCCAATAAGCTGTCATATTTCTCTCCAGCAATAAAGCAAGAGTAAGAGCTCAGGGATTGTATCTTTTCTCCTCCTCCCCCTCCTCCTCCTCTTCCTCCTCCTC